GGAGGGAGGGAGGGAGGGAGGGACGAACGAAGGACGAAAGGGATGATGCCTGGGTTCCGCAGGGAGAGCCCAGCGGAGCCCTTCTGTTCCTTCTACAGTACTGTGGTGCCGCCCCGGCCCTGCCCCCCGATAACTATTTTCAGGCATGGCCTCCAGTTGCTGTTGCTTTTCCGTGCTCCCTGTATCCAGGCGCACAGCACAAGCTTCCACGGCTTCTCGTGCCGGTGAAAGTTGTGCCGGGTACAGTCTTCTCTTTTCTGTGTCGTTGTGCTGATCACTAAGCAACTTTCAGAGATTACCTTGGGTTAGTGTTCCGCTGAGGTGATAACTGAAAGCAGTTTATAAAGAGATCTGATAAGCCGTGGCAGCAGCACAAGGTGAGCAGCGGGAGGATGTGGCTGGCAGGAGGAGGTGCTCTGGCTTTTCAAGAGCACGGTGCTGCTATATCAGCTCACAGTGCCTCAGGGAATCTCAAAGGTGGGGTTCCTTGGGCAAGCTGACCCAGTGCTTGGGGTTTCTGCCTCCATCCTCACTGTCAGCTGCAGAGTCATACAAGGGATCTTGTGTGTTAGGTTTTTAGGCAGCATAAACTGGGGACCTGCAGGTCTTCCCTTGCATTAGCAAATTAAAACAGCTCAGAGAGTTCTGCAACATACAGTAGAGCTAGCACTATGTAGGCACCAGGAGCCCACTGTAGTGGAGGAGAAACAGGACCTCCCCACCCAGCAGTGGCTGCACTGTTAGCACATTTCAGAATGCTGCAGCTTGAGGCTGCAATTTTGTACATGAGGGTGGGAGATCCAACAGCCCACCTGATACAATCTCCCTTCCCAGTGCTGTGCTGGCTCTTGGTGGGCTTCTGGAAGTGAGGGCAGTTTGCCCTGAGCCCTCCTCCCTGGAAAGTGGGTTGGAGGGTGAGAGTTGCTAAAAGTACAACAGCTGCTTCCCCCTGAGGATGAAGCCAGGCTGGCAGCTGAAGCCAGTGCTCAGAGATCAAGCTGAGTCTGTGTTCGTCTTGTGCAGTGCAGCACCTGCAAATTCACAGGGATTTTAGGCCTGCTTTTCCGTACCATGGCCACC